AGCGTTTTAGGAAGACGACGCAGGGTTGCAAGTATTCGCACTTGACAATTCGGCCAATCCTGATGTCAAATCGTCCCCGATTTGGGAATCATCGTCATCTAATTCGGGACACGTGGAACACCAAGGCTTAATTTTATCGGATGAGAGTATAGAGCAAAACTTGCGTGCGGTAATTTGCATGCCAGGAATGTCTTCGACCAAATAACGATCGTGCCCCAAAATTTTGGTAATTTGGTAGGGCCCGCGATATTTGGGCTCCAGCTTCCGCGATTCGCCCGTGGCTGATGGTTCATTTTCTAAAACCACGAGATCATTATTGTTGTATGTCTTAGGGTTTGCGTGTTTTTGGTCAAAACGCTCCTTCCACTTGGAGCGTTCTCGTGCGATGTTTTCAAGTGTATGAACACGTTTTTCAGCAATTGGCATCTGTTGTTCTTTGTCGTCGGCATCATCATTCACTGCGGCCAGAAGTCGGTTGTGAACGATGTTTCGAAGATCGAAGTCAAAAATTAGTTCGTTTGGGCTGAACCCTGATGTAGCGTTTTTCTGCGAATTTATAGTAAATTGTAAATTTCGTAGCGTTGTGTCCCACGATTTAGGGTTGTCAGTAGACGTGCGGATGTAGTTTAAAATCGTCTGATTGGCACGTTCTACTTGGCCGTTTGCGCGCGGAGTGCGAACGGCTGTCTTGATGTGTTGAATTCCGTTGTCTTCACAAAATGATTCGAAAACCTTCGAGGTAAACGCCGTACCCCTATCGGTAACGATCTGCGATGGCAAGCCGAAATAGCTGGTCAGGTCGTTAAGGGCTTGAATAACGTGTGCTGTTTTCGTATCTCGAACCGCCTTTACAACCAAAAATTTTGTAAAAGCGTCGGATATCGCCAAAACATAACTATTACCCTTCTTGCTACGAACGAAGGGCCCCAGATGGTCGATGTGTATTAAGCGGAAGGGTATAGGCTCTGGCGGTGTACCATACAGTCGTCCTTCGTGTTTCCCTGCGTGTGCCTTTTGATAGCAGCACTCGATACATGATGCGATGTATTTCTGTACGTATTTTCTCATTTTCGGGAACCAGAATGTCTGTCGAATGCGATCGAGAGTTTTTTCTAACGCGAAATGACCCATATGGTCATGGCAGAGCTGAACAATACGCCATCTTACGGATTTCGGAACAACAAATTTGAGGCCGTCCGCCTCTTGTCGATATAATCGGTGTTTCTGTAAGCGGTATTCCTTTTGTAGAATGGCTTCATTAGACGATTTAGTGTCGCCTTTTAAAATTGATACTATCTCGCGTAAATTCTCGTCCTGTAACTGTAACGTATAGAGCCAATCATTAATATCGGCCGTTACCTTCATGACGACACCGGCTACTTCGACCTCTTTCGGCGGCTGATCCGGAGAACGACTTAATGTATCGACGTGGGCCAACCGACTACCCGCTCGATGAACCGCCTCAAAATCAAACTCCAAGAGCCTCAACCACCAACGTGCGATTTTTGCTTTCAACTCTTTGTTTGATCGAATCTTGGCAATGGCCGAGCAATCGGTCACTAAACGGAATTTCTTGCCTAGTAGATATGTTCGAAAACGTTCTAATGTCTCTACCACAGCTAGAGCCTCGAGCTCATAACTATGGTATCTTCCTTCAGCGTCGGAGCAATGTCGACTGTAGTATGCAACAGGTTTCCACGACTTTGTATCGTATGACTGCAATAGTACACCCGCAAGTCCAACGCTGCTTGCATCGGTGTGTACTTCGTGGTCAGCGGAAACATCATATAAAGCTAGTACTGGGCTATGTGTGAGAGCATCGATCAGCTGTTTGAATGCAGCTTGCTGCGGTTCACCCCAACAAAAATTATTTATTTCAGTTTTTCGTAAAAGTCCGGTAAGTGGTTTTGAAATAAGTGAATAATCTTGTACGAATTTCCGGAAGAATCCCGTGAGACCCAAAAATCGTCGTAATTCAGTAAGATTAGTAGGAGGTGAAAAATTTTGAATGGCAGAGACTTTCTTGGTACCCGGAGTTATACCATTTTCATTGATAATATGACCTAAGTGCTCAATCGTTGTAGCTAAAAATTTGCACTTCGCTAGACGCAGCGTTAATCCACTTTCTCGCAATATCTCGAGGAACTGCCGTAAACGTTTCAGGCCATCCTCAATCGTTTTACTGGGTATAATAACGTCATCGAGATATACCAGTACTTCACCGCGAGGCATCTTTGTAATCAATCTATTCATGATTGACTGAAATACCGCCGGCGCGTTTACTAATCCAAATGGCATTCTGTTGAACTCAAAATGTCCATCAGTGGTGACGAAAGCCGTAAATTTTTTTTGATTCATCGTCTATCTCGATTTGATGATACCCCATTCTTAAATCAAGGGTGGTGAAATAACAATTACCTGCAAGTTGTGCGAACTGCTCCTCCATAATGGGCATCGGGAAAGACATTTTTGTAGTTATTTTATTTAAACAACGGTAGTCGACACAGAGACGGTGTTCACCGTTTTTCTTTTCGACAAGCACAATAGGTGACGCGTACGCAGAGTCAGATTGTCGTATAATGTCATTGTCAAGTAATTCACGGATTATGCCAGCGACAATCGGCCGCTTAGCAAATGGAACGCGATAAGGTTTCATTCTAACAGGTATATTCGTATTTAGTTCGATATTCATTTTTGCTACGTTGCACTTCCCGAGATCAGATAATTTTTCTGAAAACGCGTCTTGAAAGTGTATTAAAATAGTTTTAAGTTTATCGCGGTCCGCACTGGTCAGGTGAGATTCTTCGTTTATCGAAAATACTCGCTCTATTTGACAAACACCATTTTCAATCACTAGTCGTTTACCGTCTTGGCATAAAGTATCTTCACCAAGTAAGATATTTTCGCTTATCAACTCATCATCTACCACTAACGCGCAAATTTGTAGTTTGATGTTATCAATGTCAATCTTAACGTGAACTTCTTCTTTACATATGAATTCACCACCACCGAAACCTTTTAGCACTACGGTACTGGGCTTGGTTTGTCCAAGTTTTGCTGCAAATGACTTACGAATTAGTGTACGACCGCTGCCTGGGTCAATAAAAGCACTTGTAATCTGACCATTCACGTTTACATTTTTCACGATACCGTCACTATTTCTGATTACATTGACCTTGGCTTTTTGATTTTCGGTACACTTTTCTGTAGTGTGATTCGTTCGATTACACTTGCCACACCGCACTTTCTTTTGTGGCTCCGGGCAATTTTTAGAGAAGTGACCAAACTTCAAACAGTTATAGCATTTAACGTTATCGAGCCCTTTTTGTTCATTACGCACACCGCTGTTTCCACCTTGCAATTGTGGAAGCTTGGTCTTATTCAAATTCACAGTTGGTTTTATATTTGTATTCATTACCGGTTTTATATCATTATATACACAATATTCATTTATGTCACGCAGTAGGTCTGTGCATTGTACATAGTCGTTTGAGATTTTCTTTTTCAGATCGGGATCGTTTATACCGTTTATAACATGTCGAACTATAGCATTTTCTGGCATACATGCTTTCGTACCTAGCGCTTGCATTTTAAAGAAAAATTCTTGTGGCGATTCGTTGTTTTGTCTTTTCATTCGCGACATTTCAATATGTACATCCGCACTATTTACCATACATGGAAAATCATCTATAAAACGTTTAGCAAACTGTTGCCACGTACCGAACACTTCTTGTAAAGAGTCCACCCAGTACTTGGCGGGACCCCGCATCTTTTGTTGTACAGCAAAAATTAAAATCTTTTCGTTCCAGCAATAAGCATCTTTTAACGTTTCAACTCGCTTAATATATTGAACTGAATTCAGTGAAGTTTTCGATACCGGATTAAATTCAGGCAATAACTCTGCTACGTCGCGGGCTTTGCAAAACGGATTTGAAATTAACGAAATGGGTTGCTCTGGTGGCACCGCAAATGGAGCTGTCGTATACGGAGGCACTACGCGTGGTACATTGTCTAAATGCGGAGTATATGTATTTTGCGTTTGTGTGTACACATTTTGTGGTGGATGGGACCAACATATTTGGCCATATGGAGCCTGCGTCACACTATTCAAATTTTGTGCCCAAGGCACTTGATATGAAACTGTGCTTGCTGGAACTGCAACAGATGGAGGCACGGAAGCCTCTACTGGCGACGATATCCGCTGCGGTACAAAATTATTACCATTGTCTTTACACTCGTCGCGACTGCGCGTTTGCAATTCGTGAATAGTTTTCTCTAGATCCGCGATTCGTTGCACTAGCATTGTATGTTCACTGGCACTTTCAAAATGCTCTTCGCTATAAAACAATTCCAGTCTATTTATTAGTTCTGCTTTATTTCCAGCGCACGAAATATCTACGTCCTTGCATTTTTTCCGGAGTTGATTCACTTTTAATTTTCGCAAATCTTCCATCGTTTGTTTTGATCACTCTCTTCGTTTTTGGTAACTTTTTATTTGTTTTCTCTACACTACCGAATGCTTGTGAGAGGACAAGACAGCAATAGCGCTGCTGACTTAACGTTGCTCAAAATTTTGATTATACACTTCGCTGCTGTGTGTGTGAATGTAATGCAGCTTGCACTACCGTCTGCTTGTGAGTGAACGACAATACCTCACTACTGTGTAAGTGCGCAACTACATATAACTTAGCTGACGAAGTTTCGTTTCCACTGCACTGCCGT